AATATATATATATATATATATATATATATATATATATATATATAGATTGTAGAGATTATGATATCAATTTCATCTTGTACCTTTTCTTTTTCTTGACGTGTGTTATAAAATAGAGCAGGTCAATTAAAGAGAACGAAGAAAAAAATAGAGCAAGTCAATGACACTATCATTTACATATGGGAGCTTCACAAAATAAGGGAATGGAATGAGAACAATATTACAGTATTATATATAAGCAATGAACACTAGTACAATATTATTAGCAGAGAAAAAATTGGAGAAGACAAAAGCATACAAAAAAAAGATGAAAATTTTACTTGGAAATTCTTGAAGCACTTGAAAAGTCATTTCAAACAATCATTCAAAATCTGATGAATTTGGATGAGATTGTTTTATGAATTTGGTATTTATAGATAACACTATAAAGTCCTTCAAAATCCCTCTAATATAACAATTCTTTAAAATCCTTATATTTTTGAATACCAATGGATTGTTTTTAAGTTGTAAAAAATCTCAAATGAATACCAATAAATTTTAATGAACTCTTTAAAAAATATTGAAAATCCAGATTCAATACCACTAGATTGTTTTTAAGTGACATAAAATCCTGATTGAATACCAATGGACTTTTTTACTCAAAAAAAGTCTTTTAAAATCCTATGAAATCTTAAACCAATACACCCCCTAAGTGTTAAATTATAAATGGGTTAAAGTGAAAAGGTTTTTAAAAATAAAGGAAAATTGTTATAATGTTTCTTGAGGTATATCAAAATGGAAAATGGATCTTTTGACTTTTTGGAAGAAAATTTATGGCAACTTAATGCATTTAAACCGTTAGATTTGTAATAATAGATCAAATTGTGACATGTACATTTAAGTCAAAATATTTATTGTACACGTGTTACAATATGATTTATTTTTATAAATCTAACGATTTAAATGCATTAAGTTACCGTAACTTTCATATTTCAAAGTTAGAGAATCTGAATCCATCAAAATGATACTAACCTCTCTTCTATTGTATTAATTGACACCCACTTCCTTTATTTTATAGTTTAGATTTCACATACCACTCATTTCTAAAATCTTAATTCATTTACATGTTAAAACTCACTCTCTTTTACTATTTAAACTTTTTTCTATGATTGAAAAAGTGTACGGGTCATTAGTGTATTTTTGTTCTTAGCTTCATTTTATTGTGATATAGTAATAATATTAATTCCCTAAAAAAAAGTAATAATATTAAAAAAATTATTTATTGGTAGACCATAAAAGAGTACAAGTGATTAATTATTTTCATTTAAAAATCTTATCAATGATATTAATTACTCACAATTCAGTTCAAAAAACTTAAATAATTATAAATGTATTAATTAAGAATGTGACTTTGTATTCCCAATAATATGTTTATATGTCAAATATCAATTATCAAAAGAGCTATTATGCAATATTTACGAAACTATATTTTTGTTTGCATAAATAAAAGAAAAGACAACCTAAAAAGAGTTATCTAAATAGAGACACTGAAATGAAAAGTAGTAAAGAGGGAGCTTGTTAATAAATGAAGAAGAAAAGTCATGCATATTAAAAATTTATTATTTTTTACCTAAACAATTTTTTAGTTTTATTTATAATTTAAATGGTCTTTGTTTTTCAAAAAACTAGAGAGATAATTTTTGTTATTTAGGTAAACTTTAGGACGTCAATGCAATTTTTTCTAAAAATAATTGTTATCTAATGGGAGTAATTGTTTAAAGGAGTTAATATCCATGACATGAAACAAGTTTTACAAAGTGGATTGAAATCTAACGCAACCTCACAAATTTGTTTCATAAGGTGATTGTATTTCACTTATATTCACTAGCATGAAAGCATAAAGAAAATTCACTAGTATGATCATCACACTAGTTGATGTGGGATTTCCAAACACTTTCTTACACCAAAGACTAGGCACCTAACAAACATAACAACAATTAATAATTGTTAGGATAGACTCCAATACTATCTTAAAAAGTGAATTCAAATCTAACTCAATTGATTTATAAGGTAAAAATTATTCTCCAATAGCAAGTCTCTTTCTTGAAATAAAAGTATTCTTCCAACCTTTGACCATGCATCATGAATAAAAAATAAATAAAAATAAAAAATAACAAGAGTCAAAAACTGAAATTTTATTGTTTTATTTTTTATAGAAGACTAAAGTACTCTAAGATTCAAGAAGTTTTTTCTAATAAAATAAAGTAGTACTATTCCTTGATGTTATGAGAATCATCAATTTCAAAGATTCTATTAATTAATTAGTAATCTTAAAAATTAGAACTTACATCATCTAGGAAAAATCTGATATAAAAAGGGGTAATGTTGCTTTGTTTGGCTAGCAATTCTTTTTCTAACTGTATCTTCTCATTGAAGTCAAACACTATTTTTTTTCTAAAAGCATCTCCAATACTGGGTATATAGCTAGTTCTTAAGATTAAATTCTCATTGCTTATAAAAACCCTATATTAGAGCATGCTAACATGAAAAATAAAATTGTTAAAACTTAAGCATTATTGCTTATATAAGAGAGAGTTCCTTAAGAATAAAAAAATAATTTAATGGGAGGAAACACCGAGCACACCAGCTACCACCACTTGCACTGAGAGCCAACCAACGACTAAGACAACATTTGTGGATTTTTACTTCTTTGATAGTTGGGAAGGCTTGGAAGATGCCACATGAATTGGAGAAGAGACAACTAAAATTATAATATTTAATTATAATATTATTTATTAAGTTTATGTTAAAATATTAATTATTATGTTTTACTAAATTAATATTTTATTAGAATACTTAAATTATTCTTTAAGTGATCAAAAACTAAGTATAAATAAAACTTTATAAAAAGTGTGAAATATTTATAAAAAATATTTATTGAGGATTGATATATCCTTCAAAACAACTCTAAAAGATTAAAATATTAACACCTTTCAATAAATTTATTATAAAATAATTATTTAATTTAATATTTTATTATTTAAATTAATTTTTTAATAATTTGGAATAACTTTGAGAACATTCATTTGGATGATCCAATATTTTTCTTATTTATTAGAGTAAAATTTATATAAAAAAATATAAATTAAATTACTTAAAAGTGATATGACATAATGAGTCTATGTAAAATAAAATAAAAAACATGAGTTATTTATAAAAACTTGCATGCAAGATGAAATTGCTTTCTTTCGATACATGTTCCATACAAATAAAGCTGCCATCAACCTTTGATCACGAGGTTACTTAAAGAACATAATAATCTTTTCAAGTCAAAAGTCCACCTTTTCCTTTAGCTTTTTTTACAATGATTCTGCTTTTCAATTAATTTCCATGAATCGTTTCTCAAACAAGTTGATCCCGTTCAACGAAGAGCATAACCCGGGATACATTTTCCTTCAACCATCGCCAACTGTAGCAGTAAATGTAAAACGAATCAAATTGAATGGTGGTTTCAATGCAATTGCCAATCATTCTCGTATCCACTTCATGTCTAAGGGTATATTCAATGGAAGCAATTCATTTGAGTTGTTTCATGCATTGAAAAATGAAATAAGTGGTTCTTAGTGTGTTATATCAGTATTAAGCAACTCAAACACAAATTTACTCCAATGATAAGAAACTTCAAGAAATTCAACTTTTAAAAAAAAAAATTTCAAATCATTTATAAACTAAATTTAAATTTTTATTAAAAATGATAATTGCACTACAATGAAAGAAAATAAATTATCAGAAAAAATATATAATAAGTAGATATTAAAAATAAAATAAAACAATAATAAATATATAAATATTATACGAAATTAATTTTCATCATTATTATTTTTGAAACCTTCCCAAATATGTTCAATAAGATCTGCTAGAAATCTGGTAAGGAACGGTTATTTGAAGAAACAACTCTCTCTTCTTCAGTTACCACGTCAGAATCCTTCAATAATAAACCGAAGAAACAACTCACATTAAAGTTTCACTAAGAAATTCCGATGATCCGATCCATTATGCCTATGCTCAAAGATCCACCATTCCATATTTAACTTTCTTTTCTGCTTAAAGCTTCTGCCGAAAGTGGGGGTATTAGATTCAGCCTTATCATCATAGAATTTATTTATTTTTTGATAAACGCCATAGCCTTAATTATCATCATAGAATAATACATTAACAGCATATATGATGTATCCATTCCACAAAAAACATATCGAATATCTATATTATTAATGTGAAGTATTAATTATTAATTTTTGTCAAAAAATTTAATTAATTATCTTTTATCTGAGATATTTATATTATATATTAGTGTAAAGTATCTACTAATTTTAAAGAATATGACTGAACACAGTTTATTGAAGTGTGCTTGAATGGGAGATTTTAATAGAATAATTCAATTTTTTTTGAAGATGGTATAAAATATTTTGTTTAGACGAAGAATTTATAAGAAATTTGAAATTTAAGTATTTATGAGATTCTCTAAAATTATAAAATTTTAGATTCTCCCACCAAAGTATGAATTTAAAATTATTCTTTCTTTTTTTTCTCTTATCTTCCTCTTCTCTCTTTTAAAGTTGACATAAAAAAATATTAAAAAAAATAATTATTGAATATTTAAAATTATTTTTTAAATTATTAAATATTGTCTGATATCACTTTTATAAAAAAAATTATTAAATATTTAGAAATTGACAAATATTTAGTTTTATAAAATTAAATCTTAAAATTTCAATATATATATATATATATTTAAATTCAATTTTATCCATAGTAAAAATTAAATTATCCTATCCAAATTAAGAATTTAAAATTTTAAAATTTGAATTAATTTGTTCAAATAAAACATTTAAAGAATAATGTAAATTGCAATTAAAATAATTTAAATTTTAAAAATTTCAAATTTATAAAATTCCTTATCCAAATACATCATTAAAATTTTTCTTTCAATTAATTAACTACCTTTTTTTTCATATATAAGATTCGAAATTCAATAAGTTGAACGAATAAGATTCTGGTTGGAACAAGGACCTCTTATTAAGAGAAGGCAAGATATCGATTATTGGGTAATAATGGTAAGAGTATAAATAAATAAATAAGGAATGAAAGTGTAACACAAGCTTGACACACCTAGGAGTAAGGCAATGGCAAACGAAAACCAAAACCAAGTGCATGAAGTAGCTAAGCCTGCCCTACGCAAACATCCTCGGCATCAGAAGGGTCGCGTGGCCTTCAAAACGAACCTAGAAGAGGTCATAACAGAGGCCCTTGTTCCTGAGACCGAGACCCCTACCATTACCAACCATGCACATGCAAATGCTTACGACACTGTGGACGAAAGATTGAACTTGCCAGGCTCAACTCTTTGGGACAAATATAGTACCTATGTATCTATAAGGACATGCTTGATATTACATGCAAATTTACAATAATCTCCACCTAGGCTACTCTTGAATTATAATATTCCTATACTCTTAGACTCTGTATCTTTTTCCTTTTCTTGATGTTTTAGATTAGAGTGTTAGAAGTGATTAAAACATTATAAATACCACCCCTTGTATCAGTTATGATCTGATTAGATAGCGGATCCCGTCTAAGCCAAGATCTTCCCAGCACATGTCCGAGGTCGTCCTGCGCTGTGATACCGAGCTCGAGCTCGGCATGGCGATATAGATAATTGAAAAATAATAAATTTTTTTATAAGAACTAGAATTAAAATTTGCTTAATACATTTAAATTGAGCCAAACAAAAGATCAGACGTGATATTTACGTAATTGTGTACGATAATAATTATTGCAAATATCTTATAAAAAAATATAATTCAGATCGTTCATGATCAATTAGTTACCTCACATTCTGTCAATGTTATAATACATAACTAAATGTCCGATACACATGAAACTATATATTATTATCAAAATTTAAAAATACTTTTATATAATGTTACAAATCAACATATCAAAAATGCAATTCATTTAATTAAGTTTTAATAAGAAGAATTAAAAAAAATAAGCCAAATTGTAAAAACTGTTATTTTTTCAGTTAATAAATTTTTGTTTATATTGTTGTATGATTTTTATTTGTTAATTTAATGATTTAAAATAGTTTCTCAATACCATTCGAATTTACACTGAAAATAGTGGTAGGGTGTTGATGAAAGAAGGAGGACAAAAAGGACAAGTTGAAAGAAAGTAGGGATAAAATTGGTCATATACAAAAAATGGAGTGTGGTGGTGGTCGGGGTTGGCGCTTTCTGATGGCATGTATAAAAGGCATTGCACTTTGAAATTGCAATCGGTGTTGGTCATCGTCAACTACATTTTCTCCGTCTCTTCGTTTTTGCTCTTTCTGTCTCTCTCGAGCTCTGAGAGATTCAGATTCAGATCTAGATCAGATCTGTAACTATTCCGTGTTACTCACGTTTCCGAAGAACAAAACCAAAAAAACCAAAAAAAAAAAAAGAAGAAAAATGGCGACTGTGTCCCCTCTCGCCAAGTACAAGCTCGTTTTCTTAGGCGATCAATCGGTTGGAAAAACCAGCATAATCACTCGCTTCATGTATGACAAATTCGACACTACCTATCAGGTCTATATTTCACCGATCTATACTCTTTCTAATTTTGTTATTATTCCAAGGTTTCGTTATCGATTTCAATTTGACTGATTCCACTTCAATCAAACTCTAAGGTTTTGGTTCTGATTTTGTGCGTTTATCTCTAATTTCAACGCGTTTCCATTATACGTTAGATATGTCAAGTTCGGTTTTACTTGGAATTTGGATCAAGCTGAACCTGAACTAGAGTGTTGTTGCCGTTTTGATTATGTTGTTTGCTCGTTTTTGTGATTGTTTTGTTATGTATTGAGGATAAAGGTGGAAGATTCGTGTTATAGATTGCGTTTGGTTACGTTTGGGAAATGAGAACCATTCACGATGAGCTTTGCTGTTTATCGCGCATGATTAGGATTTAGGACTTAATTAGGAGGATCAGAGGAGATAAGTAGTATTCTGCAATGTACTCTCAGATATACTCTTTATACGAATGATTTTTATTTATGTCGTCTCTAGAGTATTAACAACGGAAGTTGATCTGAATCCAAGGTGTAATGTATATATTCATTTTGATAGAGTGCAAGATTTGTTTCGGTGTGGAATTGAACAAGTTGCTCGTAAATTCATTCTCCTATTGCCCACATGTTGCTCTATGTCATCAGGTTTGAGTTAATGAAGTGCTAGAGTAGGAAGAAGAGTTTGTATTAGTGATTGTGAAATGTGAAATTACTTTCAAGGTTTGAACTATTTCAAATTTTTTAGAATAATTGAGTAGAGTTTTTTTGGTAATTATATTTATGAAAATTATGCCATCTTGTGATGATCCTTGTTTGGATTAGTCATCAACTTATCATACAAAACTAACTTCAATGAAAAACTATCTTTGTTCTGTTTTGCATTACAGTCTTTTCATTTCCCTTTTTCCTGCTAGGTTCTTGACAGATTTCTTGATCATATAAATTTCAGGCTACTATTGGTATTGACTTCTTGTCAAAAACAATGTACCTTGAAGATCGAACAGTTCGTCTACAGCTTTGGTAGGCCGTATTCCTCTTAAATTCATACAGTTCGTTTACTATTTGTATTCCAAAAGTTGTATTAAATTTCATATTGTTGTGTAGGCACTTTTCTTGCACGTTCTTTGCATGTTTTTGAGTGTACTGTATTTTAACTTCACAGGGATACTGCAGGACAAGAAAGATTTAGAAGTCTCATTCCAAGCTACATAAGAGATTCTTCTGTTGCAATTGTTGTCTATGATGTAGCCAGTGAGTAGTAGTGTTTTTCCTTTTCTTTTCTAAGTGCTGGTTTCATTATCTAATTAGCAGTGTTTATTCTGGATCTTTACAGATTTTCTCACGTCTCATAATTTTTCCAAGTTATCTTAGTTTTACTAAGAGAAAAGATTTTGTAGCATATGCACACATTCTTAGATTGTTATTTTTCTGTCTGTTTCGATCTTACTTTTCCAAATAAAGACTTATGTAGTTATGAAAACATCAGCTCATTACCTCTGTGTGTGTATTTTTTCTTGTGCTCTCTTTATGTTCTGTTTTTGTTTGCGGAACTAAATGTGCTTAGTTTCTTAAATCTATGAAACATAAAATCAAATTGTAATCATTAAATTCCTTAGCAAGCTGTTATAGTGCAGACCGACAATCATTTTTGAACACTAACAAGTGGATTGAGGAGGTGCGTACAGAACGAGGAAGTGATGTTATTATTGTCTTGGTTGGGAACAAAACTGATCTTGTTGAGAAAAGGTGAGCAATGAGTTGATAAATTTGTTCGATGCAAGTCTTTTTTGTAATGCTTATATTATTAACTAGTTTACTAACAGGATATCTTCATCATGAAATTTGTTTAGACACGTGGTTCTTTTTTTCATTAGACATTTGGATTCTATCTATTGTCAGAAGGGACTTTGCATATTGTTTGCATTAATTCCTGTTTGTTTATCCAAATTTTTGGCATTAATTCCTGTTTGTTTTTCCAAATTTTTGGCATAAAAATAATTGCTAATTTATCATATTCTAGTTGGATACTGTGATGATAGGATAACGGGACTCCTTTTGTTGCTAACAACTGCATTGGTTAATTAAATCATTTTGTTAAAAAGAAGGGAATGGCCTTATACTATCTTGAGGAGCCTTGTTTGTTTGACACAAAAAAAAAAACCTATCTCAATCACTCATGTCAAAGTAAGTATTGTCTAAAAGGAAAAAAGTTTTCATTTTTCCATTAAGGGTTAGCACGTCCTTATTTTGAAATCATCAATATTATGTTTCCATCATTGTTTTTTAAGTTAAGTGTTGATAGTCTTCAATGTGCTATTTGTGAAATTGCAAGGCTTAAAGCATATACAATTTTCTATTACAAGTGTTCGTAGATTGGATTTTAAAAAAATTCAAATTGAATCAAATAGATCTATTTTTTTTATAAAGTGGATTGGTTCGAGTTTTTAAAAATATAGATCGAATTTTTTAATATATTCATATTGATTATGGATAAGTTTTGATTTTTTCCACACCCCTAATTTTAGTTAATAAAATAAGTACATTTCCTTTCTATTTCATCCATACTCATTTACAAAATAATTTTGAACCTACTATCTTATAGGATAATTATGTGGTCTTTCAAAATGAAATAAAATCCCGAATACTTTATGACCTTTACCTCTCAATTTTTAGAAAATGAACCAGAAAATGTACGCAGACCTCGTATCTTCTCTCAAAATACTCATTTAAAAAATTCTCATCAACCCACAAAATCTTTGTTGAAAACCCAAGCAAAAAATTTCGGCCTCACCAATGTTTTTGAGGCATAAACAGATAAAAGGTGAAAACTGGCCATGGACAGAGACCGAGGCATTGAAAAAGAATAAGACATTGGAGTTAGTTACTCTACTAGAAGGAAAGAAGACAATTGGTTACAAGTTGATGAAGTATAAGGTTGAGGTGTCAATTGAGAAGGCTCAAATCATGGTTGGTAGCAAAAGGGTAGTAATTTTAGGAGAAAAGAGCTCCTTTGATGTTTATTTTGCGAACTAGCCCAGAATAGATACTCAACGCATCTTAGGAAGTAGTGATATTTTAAGTGTTCTCTTGTAATCTTGACTATAAATAATTCCGTTTTTGTTGGGTGGAAAAAACCCTCAAGCACATTCAGAAAATTTTCCTTTCAAGCCAAGATCTTCCCAGCACATGTCCGAGGTCGTCCTGCGCTGTGATACCGAGCTCGAGCTCGGCATGGCGATATAGATAATTGAAAAATAATAAATTTTTTTATAAGAACTAGAATTAAAATTTGCTTAATACATTTAAATTGAGCCAAACAAAAGATCAGACGTGATATTTACGTAATTGTGTAGAGAGTGTTTTTCATTTTCAATGCTTCAAGCCACCACCCTCATATAAGGGGTGCACTAAATTAATAACTTCTTGTTTCATAAGTATCTAATTTGTAGTTTTTATGGTAATTGGCTCCTCCTTTTCTTTCCTTTGGGCTTATACTTGATCTTTGCCATGGATTTTTGCACACAATTGATGATTTGCAAGTATGATAACTTCCCTTTCCCTTATCAATAACAAATGTATTTTGTTTAATAGAAGAACTTATAATAGTCCATGTTCAAATCTTGAGCAGTATAATGATTATTTTAAAAACTGGTGCAGCTATAAAGTCGGCTCAGTAGTTTAAGCAGATTAATTGATTGTAGAATCGGTCTAAAAATTGACTTTGAACAATTACTTGATTAATTAAGTTGTTGAACTGTCTAGTCCAATTTGATTCTAATAAGTGTTAATTGCATAACTCAAACGACCAATTAAATACTATTTTTAAAATATTAAAATAATTTTAATTTATTTATTTGAGAGAATATCAACATTCATGTAAATTTGCTTTTCTAGTAGAAAGAAAATTTTAGTATTATTAAAAATGAGTATGCAAGGCGTTTGAATAATTTTAAAAGTTTTTTTTTATTAATTTATTAATTAGTTTGATTAAAATAAATTTATTTAGTATTAAAACTTATTTTAAAAGTTTATATTATAACTTACTTTTCTAAGTCATTCGAGATAGCTTATAATTTATCAGCTTCTATCTTCTAACTTATAACTTATTTTAACTACTTGATAAATTATAGTTTTATTAAACACACTTAATTTTTGGGTGAATGATTTCCTTAGAGGTGGATAAAGTCTTTATACTTTCATAATACTTGTTGAAAATTCATATTGAATTCATATTTATTTTACTTAGCAGTGAATCTTGCAATAATATTTGGAAGAATAAAATAATTATAATAAAAAAATTATCATACACGTGTATATATAATTAATGATACAAAAATTATTATTAAAAATTATTTTTATCTATATAATAAATATAATAGATATTGATATATTATTAAAAAAATGTAGATATAAATTATAATGACACATAAAATATATTATTAAACTAAATTTAAAATTAATATTAAAATTATATATAATTATATATTAAATAAATATATACATACATATATTATATTATACTATACTTTTTGTATATGATTAAATTAAGTTTAGTGTACTAAAGAGTATATAAGAATTCACTGCCGCATAATCACATCTAAGTTAGATGTCCCAACAAACAACTGAACATATGAATTTATGGCTATGTTAGATTCTATCTTACTTCACTTGAATAATTTCTCGAAAATAATTTGTAAATATTTGTAGTCAACTCGCTTATTTAAAAAAAATTCTACAAATACTTTATTTTATCTTATTTAATTAAGATAATTTATTATTAATTAAATATTGCTTATAAATTGTATATTAATTATTTTCAATTTTTCAAGTAAATTAAATTAAATTATATTTTTTCCTTATCTTATTTTTAAGATTTATTTTTTTTGCAAAAAAAATATTTTGATTCTTTATCTTTTAAATGTGAGATAATTTGATTTTTCATAATCAATGATTTTTTTTTTAATTTTTGGACACAACTTTGAATCCTTTTTCAAATAATTTGTAATGTGAAACTTATTTCATTAAATTTATCTACATAAAAATTATTGAACTCCATTAATGTTTAAAACAATAAAAAGAAACATAATCATGATGAACATAACACGGAAATAGGTCTATGACTCTAAACAAACAAAAAATAATAAACTAATATTGTTTAAGAAAAACAAATTGACCATACTAAAACATATAATAAGTTAAAAAAAATTGAATTTTCTTTTTCTTCCTATTTTTTGCCTCACTTAATGATGGAATTCAAATGTAATTTCATTTTGATGATTATTTTAGATTGGTTTTTTTTATATTACTTTGCCAGTTTTAGTTATTAAATATTTTTTTTTTATTTCCTATTTTCTAAATTTCATAAGAAATAATAAAAATGATTTTTCAACATGTAAAATAAAATAAACATTTATAAACCTAAACAATATTAAAATGTGTTTCAAAAAGTCAAAAATTAAAGTTGCAGTGAAATAAATCATTACAACATTCTATAAATCAAAATCGTTTTCTCCTCGCTTAACAAAAATGTATGCTCCGGCTGGAGAAAAAATAAAGAAAGAAAGTAAAAAAAAAAAAAAAATAAATAAAAAAGTAAGATGTAATGAATACTTTAATTGATAAAATTGAAAATGGAAACATGAAGAGAAAAAAAAAAGTTAACTTTATAAAAAGATGAATGAGAAAATAGTGGGAAAATAATATGTAAGGACAAAAAAAAATTTAAAGGAAATATGGTATTAATTTTTTTAAAGAAATAATAAGTGACAAAGAAGTACTTTTATAATGTAAAAATATATATAATGACGCTTTAACAAGAAGGGAAATGAATAAAAATTACTTATACATTGTTAGTGTAAAGTTTTTTTACACTAGTAATTAATAATATCTTTTAATGGTGTCATGTCAATTGCTTATTTAATGAAATAATAATAAATTAAACAACTTTAAAAGATATGATTGGTTGCTAGTATAAAAAACTTTACACTGACAGTATATGGATGATTAACTCAATGAATAACACTAAACCCAAAAATGCAATATGTTATAATTATACTATCGTCTAATTATAAATAATTATTAACTTTAATTATTTGTTAAAATTTGTATCTAAATATTTTCTAATTAGTAAATATTTAATTTTTTAAACTAAAAAATGTCAAAATCAAATTCATTATTAATTAAAACCATTAGAAAGTAAAGATACAATAGATTAGTTTTGTTGTGAAAATAAGAAGAGACTCGCACAAATAAAACAGAAAGATCGTTAGCCAATACTGATATGAAATCGTAAAATGTGGCACTTCTGAAGTTTATAGTTTTTTTTTAATTTAATAATATATTCAATCTTCGCATCATTGACATCTTGAAGAAACAGAGTGCCATCCTTACATTTAAATATCCTTTTTTCGTTCAGCAAAAAAGAATTTGAAATTACCCTTCTAACTATTTCTTTTTTACGGATTTGAAGTGAGACCTCTCAAAAACATGTTTATTATTATTATTATTATTATTATTATTATTATTATTATTATTATTATTATTATTATTATTATTATTATTATTATTATTATTATTATTATTAT